ACCAATAAGAGAATGTATTAGTAGATAGCACTACCCTTTTTGTGGATGCCTGGTGTCATTTTTTTCAGTGATCCATTCACTGATATTCAATGATATAATTTTCATCTCCCTTTTTGGCCTTTTGCTTTTTGTTTGGGCAAACACCTAGTTTTACGCCACTTTTAGCAACATTACACCAATATTGCGGCAGGGACATCAGCATTGAGCTTCATACATTGTACCCATCATTGGTGTTATGAGCAAAAGCTTTTTAACCCCTTGGCTACCTGACCATTTCCACCTACTTTAAAAGAATTCTTCTTGATGGCACACTTATGTGTTTTTGTGAGTGTACATTTCCATACCATCTCAAACATGGTATACATTTTCTTGAAAATTGGATTGCTATGGGTGCTGAGTTTCTATATTCATGAGATCAACTTTGCAGTAGATAAATACAAAAGTTTGTTTGCAGACATGGTGACCACATGCCACACAAGACTGAGATTCAGCTGCCATCATGCCTTACAAAGGGGCAGATCTTTGAGATATATGTTGAAGATTTTAGCAGTATAGGCAAGCCAACTATAGGATATAGCCGTTTCAAGGAGCTCTGGAGGGAATTCTTCCACTCAGTGAAAATACTGAAGGTATGGTTTTACTGTCAGAGGCATACCAAGTACCAATTTGGAATAGTGTCAACATTTTGCTTCATGATACCGTGAGCAAAGCTGCATCTGGAGTTTTCCAGAACATTAAAGTACATTATTATGACTGTTTGAAAGATATTGTATCTGTCAAATGTCTTGTGTACAAATTGTTAAAAACTATGAATGTATGATATAAAACTGTATGAGTGTAATTTGTGTTCTTGTCATTCCAGTCCAAGGACTTTACACAGTGCTCACTGTGCATCTTATACAGAGATGCCCTACAAAGACGAAACTTGGCAAAGGAAGAGGTTGAGTCCTTAAAAGAATCAAAACAGGGACACTTAGCTTTGCAAAGGTTTGCTTTCTTTCTGTAATAGATGTGTAGAGGTTATATGTAATGGGGATTAGGAATCTGATTTGGGATCATGAGAAGATTCCAAAGAATAAACACATGACTAAATGTGGGCAACTCTTCCTACATGAAGGGACCACTAACTACATTGTGATTGTTAATAGCTTCAATGTTAGGTATCACCACTACCTGACTAGGTACTGTTTATTTCAATGTCAAAATACATTTATATCAATAATTCACATGTTTTTATTACAATTAATTTATGTTCACAGATTACTTCGAGAAAAGTACTACAAACACGGGACAAAGCAAAGAGGTCACCATCAAAATATGTCTCCCTCAATATTGACAACATGGACCAGAACAAAACAAACCTTCCTGTCTTTCCGGATCAATCAAAGGTACATGTAAAAAGAACTTATTTAACCTAAGGCTCCTTTAACCACATTGAAATTCACATTTCTGAAACTAAATATCATGAATGAAATTAAAATTAAGTGTAAAATAAATGTTGATATGGTTCCTGCACATACTAAGTCTGTTCTTACAGGTATTAATTAACAGTCAATGTTTGTGACATTTCAGACTGATGTCAGCTTAGCGCATGTCAAGCACCATGTGACAGGTGTCGTAGATCATGGAAACCAGGAAACCCATGCTGTCATCTGGAATTCCTGTATTCCAGGTGATGCAAATGTCACCTGCACAGTGCTATTAGATGTCCTCCATAGGATTGCACAGGTAATACTAATAAATATTTTCAATATCTCTCGTGTCATTTAGACAATTGTGGTTATAATATTTTACAATGTAATGGTTCTTGTATGCCTCTGATAATAATTCCTAGTTTTGTTTATTTACTTTACAGGTAATATAAAAATAGTATTTATTTAGATAAATATTAATTTCAGATGAACCATGGACAACTGCCAGAAACTTTATACTTGCAAGCGGACAATTCTCCAAAAGACAATAAAAACAAGACGGTCTTGTATTTTTTGGCATTGTTGGTCAAGTTAAAAATCTTCAAAAAGGTATGTGCTTTTTAGATATATTTTTTTTCATATACAAATGCTATTGATTTTCAACAGTGGATTTTTCAATGTGACAAATGTGACAGTGTCACAGGTAACACATTTACACCCAATTTTTTTTCGAGATTTTATACATAAAACTGACCCTATAATATGCAAAATTGAATGTTCTGTCATAGGAAAGACTGCAACTCACTATTTATACAAACGTGCAAATTGGCAGTAATCAAAGATCAGACCAATGATTGGAAATGAGCCACTGACATACAGGGTTTCAAATTTACATTCATTTTCTAATCGGTGACTAGTAAAATCAGGAAGGACCAGTACCATTTCTTTGTGTTTTACCATTAGGTACATGGCAACTCTGCAGCAGATCATTTATGTGAACTTATATCAATTAATTTCTAAGTCTTATATATGAATGACTACATTAATGGACATTCAAAATATATAAATGTAAAAGCCTTTGAAAAAAGGATGTATTTATTCCTAGAGGCTATACTAGACAATTCAAAGTAAATGCTGAAATCACATGTGGTTAATATTTTTACAATTTATGTAAATTGTTTTAAACCACATTAGAATTGTTTTGAAGCAAAGGTATTTCATGTCCAATTGCTCATCAAGTGGAAACGAATCTGCAATGTTGAAACTTGAAAAATGCACAAGATTGATTTTTCTCTCAATATACTCAACATATTCAATATTCTCAAGTCTGTATTCTGTAAATAAACAAGTTTTGATTTGTTTTCATAGTGATAATACTATTTTAAATTCTATTTTCAGGTGAAACTTTCTTTTCTCATGGTGGGACACACGCATGAAGATGTGGACCAACTGTTTAGTGTATTTGCAAGAGAGCTAAGACAGAAGCCTGCAAGAACACGCGATGCCCTCCTTCAAGTCCTTGCCAGTACAAATGATCCAAGACCAACAACGACTGCACTGGAAGGGGTTTGGGACGTTAGGCAATTGTTTATGGACTCGGATTCCCCAAAAGGCCACAAGGAGACACATGTGTTTGTGTTTCGGATGTATGGATCCGAGGTCTGCATGTATTACAAAGATTGGCCAGTGAAAAGTGAACAGTATAGGATGTTAACATTGGATGTCAATGTTGACCCATCTACACTGACACCAGTCAGACTGGACAGGCAAAAGGTAGACGACACCTGTAAGGCCATGGAGAAAGACTTGGCCAAATGGGTGTCTTCTACCAGGTTGTCTGCAGAGGATAGCTTGTGGTGGATGTCCTACCTTAGAAAGATGGGGGACATCCGGACACCCACCATCAAGCTATCAGACTTCAAGCCCTTCATGCCTGCCCCAAGGGAAGCAACAACCCTCCCAACTAAAGTTCAAGAGGCAATAGAGAAGAACAATGATAGACTGCAAAAACAATCGAAGGTAATTTCAATAAATATTGCATTTCTTTTGAAATATGTATTGTGATGTGTTATATTAGGGTTAGTCAGCATTACTGACATCCCAACTTCCATGAGGTTACTTTTATACTTGTATAGATGCACAGTGATTTGCCTGTCATTTTAATTATGTTCTCATATTCTTTACAAAAAATTATTTTCATTACTTTCAGATCACTCTGACAAAGCACCGAAGACAAGCGTCAGTATCCGAACAATAAAGAAGGAGCAGCAAGTATCGCTGAAATCTACATGTTTTGTCTAAGCTATGTGGCTGAGATATTGCTGCGGATTGCATTGGAGGAGTTTTGTACTTTGTATGTTTTTGTATCTTAGTAAAGCTGTGTATTTAGAATTGTATATATAAAAGATGAATTGTGCACAATGAAATTTATGAAACAATATATGCAGTTGTATCGAAAAATTGGTTGTGTTCTATATTTTCTTTCTGTGTCTGAAGTTAACCTATTGAAGATGGTCACTGAAATTCTCATAATAATTAAGATTATAAAAAGGTAAGCTCAGGGTTCAAGGATTTGTACTGTCTAGTATACAAACGTATGAGGCCAACATATTGTTCCAATTTTTATAAATGATAAAGTTATATAAAGTAATGATAAAGTAATGATAAATTTGGTAAATAAGATAAATATCTTCAGTTGCTGAATTCAATTGAAACTCTCCAAAGATTGATGCTGGATATTGCTGCAGAAAAAAATTCTGCCAGAAATTTCTGCAGTAATGCATTTTCTGAGCCAATTTTTGAGCTTATGAACATGTGAACACACTGGGACAGACATTATTTGGATTCGTCTCCTCGGGAGCTTTCCAGTGATATAAAACATGTTTTTGTAGCTCGCTTCCTTCTGTGTGGTCAAGTTCGGACTCCTGGCCATTCCTAAGTTGTCCCGCCCTGCCTTCTAGGATAGACCCTTAACCTTTTTTCGTTACCATCACCCACTCATTCCCAAATTAATTGTCCCAAATTTTGATTAATTTTTACCCTGTGTCGTATAGTTGTTTAGTTGAAATCCAAAGAATATCAAGATGGTGAAGATTTTAACGGAAGAGTTGTTTTTCCCTGCCTAATGGCTGAGGCAATTATTGGTGACGAGTTTTAAATCGTTTTCAGCTTACTGATGTAAACGTCTTGTACATTTTGAAAATAAACTGATGGGAAAAAACTTTATTTATCTTGTTTTCCGTGGTAAAATTGGCCACCAGTAGCCATGGCTCTTTGAATATCAGCGTACTCCAAAGAAGTGGGGCGTTGCTCTTAATATCAACCACCAGTTTGACTGTTCCAGACTCGAATAACTACAGGCCGCAGTGTTGTAAAGTAAATATTGCAGACTGCTGTGTAAAACAACAGAGAAGAGGCAATCATACATTTTAACGGCACAAGCTTTTAAGTCACTTCATTCAAATAAACGAAGGCTACAAGTAATTTATCTTGACTTGTGCATTCAACCAAAACATAACACGTCAAAATGCTCCTCATTGTACAAGACAAAGCTCGAAACAGCACGAGCAGCAACATGTGGTCACATGACAGCACATAAAACGGTTACACTAGTCAAATGACAACGAATCATTATCTGTTATCTCGCTTCCGGGAAAGTTGAGCTCTTTCCCAGAAAACCTACACGCAAAACAGAAACAACAGTTTGTTTGCATGGTATCACGAGGGTGCAGTGACAGAGTAAGCTAGCGATGCCGAAACGGCGAGGGGGGCGACGACGCCCGAAATTGGAACGGGTGTACGGGTGGTTTCATTGTAAAAAGTGCAGACGAGGCTGGGAGAGTTCTCATGTATACTGTATAGAGGGGACTTTGAAGGTACGTGTTGATCTATGTATCTACCGACATGTGTATGTATTTATTGACAACTTATTATTGACGGGATTTGCAGATTTAAAGCTATTTGTTAACACACTCTTTTTGATAATGACACTTATTAATAGAGAGGTGGGCGTGTCACAGTGACCTTCGTTATTAGCTGGCTGCATTCGCACTATGCACCATTAAAGGTACATTCTCGTGTTTTTAATTATAAAATAATTATTGTAATAATCTACATAGGAGAATAAATCCCGGAATAGGACATTATAGTACTGCCCTGGCCCGCTCTGTGTAGAGTAAAATAGATTTATCATAATAACTTGACTAGAATCTGTCTCCAACACGGCATACCAATGTTGATGTGCAACAACTACCTGCCAAGAATCAGGCTGGGTAGGAATACATTTACTGTCACACCTAGGCTTATATGACAGGTGTCCCCGTCCCCTAAAACGCCGCAATTCGCTGCCACTGGGCACGCCCGAAGCGGAGAAACCGCATTATCTGTGGTTCGAGAAGGGAGAGAACTCCGTTTGCCTAATCGAAACTAAACGCACTTGTTGTTGAGAATATGAACTACGTAAACAAACCCGCATTACGAACTGCTATTTTGTCTATTGAAAACAAGTATTATGACTTATAATTGGATTAGAATGTACAAATGTGATGACGATACAGCAGAACTCACTTCTACGAACCACGCCAAACTAGGTCGTGGGGTCATTAATATTCATGAGTTATTCCTTTTATGGAACAAGTTCTCGGAAAGGTTTGAGGCTTGTATCATGTCCAAGATGAAGTCAAGAGTAGACATATTTTCAGGCTTATATCGCCACCAAAACGTATACTGGAAAAAGTAGAATGAGTGATGTTGCCTCTGTAAATTTAAATTGAAGCAGATCTAATTAAGATTCTTGCTTTGTAACTGTTTTTACAAGTAGTCAGCTGTGATGACGTTATTCAAACTTCAAAGACTTTGTGTGCCTTTCGTGGAATTAACGTCACACTAAATAATTTATAAAGACATTTCCCATCAATATTACAAAATGAGAATAATATATACCCATTCAAAGTAATGACAAATGTGAGCCCAATAACCTAAATGATTTAGTCAACCCAATGAAGCCCAGCGATTTACAAATGTAGGCCCACCTGTTTCGATCACTATCAAACGGGAACAATGTGGGCCACATTTTAGAAAATGGTTATATGTAAGCCATGCTAATGAAGCTTAGCGATTTATAAATGTTGTCCCTCCTGTTGCAATCACTATGACGGAAGAACGTCTGCCCACATTTAGGAATCGATTATCGTCACTAATTAAACAACCTAACGAAGCTAGGCGATATACAAATGTGGGCCCAATTGTTTCGATATTTAACGCATTCAAACATTTAATTAAGAATACGTTTTACCTTAGGGATAAGCTGGGCATTTAAAAGCTGGACCAACAACGTACATCGTGACTGACGCCATTTCTCGCAAACACGAAAACAACGGAGATAGCTCCCGTTTGAAATTAGAGTGACCTCCCTTTCCCAATATGAACCACTGATAATGCGGTTTCGCCCCCGAAATCTAGGATTGTGGGTTCCAGAACAGGTGGCCCAGTCATCTAAGACGCAGCAATTCGTTGCCACTGGGCACACGAGAACGTGACCCAGGATTGTGGGTTCCAGAACAGGTGGCCCAGTCGTCTAGACGCCGCAATTCGTTGCCAATGGGCACACCAGAAACCTAGGATTGTGGGTTCCAGAACAGGTGGAAAAACTGATGGCCAAGTTGTCTTGAGATGGCTTTACTTAAATCTCTCTCATGTTCAAATATAAGAGAAAAAACTTCTGAAAATGTCTATAATTTACAAACGTTACACTTTGTTCTGTTGTAAGTAAGAAACATGGAAGCGCTGAAAGGTACATGGCCAAATTTTCATTCACATGAATACGTATGACAACTTTCACAACGAATTCAAAGACTGTCCCAACCCCATCATGGATACATGCAAGCAGACAGGAACTATTCTCTGACAAAATCTGGCAACAGTCGCTAACTTTAAAAATTTTCAAATTGTATCCGTGTGTGTTGGCAAAATAAAGTGGATACCCAATTTCTGTTTAGAACAGAATAACAGGTCTTCGGTGTCATGTTATGCGAACTAAATGCGGCAGTAAGACATGTTTGGTCGCATTAATAATCATTGCATAAATACATCACATGACGTTGGTCAACACTGTAAAAGTGTTTACATCTTAAAGACAACCCTAAACACGTTCCTTGACCCATACTTTTGACATGATTAGGATTAGGATTAGGTGTTTGGGGTCTGAATGTGGGAAAGACCCTTATACCCCCCTTGAAAGTCATTGTTTGGTTATTTAAAAAGGGTCCCTTTCTATGGGTTTTTAGCGGTTAAAGGGGATGCAATAGTGTAACAGTAAAAAGTGTATCGGAGGAATACCAACCTCCACCCTCGAGGATCTTGACTTCTGATCCTTCAATCAACCACCTGTGCCACTGAGACTGTAGCCCTCACAAATGTCAAATTTCATAGTCACCGTCACCTAAGCTTGGTCTATTTGTACATTAATATTGTATTAAAAATTCTGGTAGTATATGCGGTGCGAAAGTGCCCTCATCTGATTTGCACATCTAATTTAAATATATATTACACACACACACACACACACACACACACACACACACACACACACATATATATATATATATATATATATATATATGTTATCCTTGTTTTCCTTAAAGCTCAATGTTATGACCTTTATTGTAACATGCATGTTTAAGTTCGGAATGTGTTTAGATTATTAGGATAATAGACAATGATATGTACACAATGACTAAACATGTGTAAATTTTGAACAATAGACGTGTCTAAATTCGAAATGTTATTTAGTATTAAGCATGTCCTAGAAAATTCTTGAAAACAATAATTATACTTCAGACTGATGAAAAAAAGAACATGTCTGCCACAAAGATGGCACTATGAATACACAGTGCCTTTCAGAAAGTGGTCAAATGGAACAAATGTTATATACACCCACACACCCTGGGTTCGACTCCCGGATGTGACTTAAATAAAAAGAGCTCGAATTTGTACTTCACTGAGAAAGTGTTATCCCAAATATAACATTTGTTAAAAATGACATTGTTGGAAGCTGTTGTTCTTTAAAACATATTCCAACTCACAGTTTTAATAACAAAAATATTTGGTTTTGCAGCTGTAACTGAAAAAAAATATTGAATCTCAAGACAAAATCTCTGTAACCCCGTGATATCACTGAAATACCGTTCACAGCGTCAAACCAAACTCACTCACTTTCAAGTGATGTAGATTATTTTTAAATGATATTAAAGTTATGAAATATATCCCGACATTCTCCATTGTTGCAGGTTGTTTATCGTCAAGGATGTAAGCATGTGACGCCTTCATTTTCCCATACCAGACAGACTACCTCATCTGTTCCAAATGTGGGGAACAACAGTGCCAATGTGACTCCTACGACGACGAGGATGATGCATACGACTCCGACGACGATGGAGACTTACGAACATCCCGGAGTGGCCGAGATCGCCATGTTGATGCACAGAAGCCACATCTTAAACATCTCTGTCAGAAGTGTCAGGCAGGATACTTGTGTGCAAGGGCGTAGGGCGGGGGTCGCAGTGTCTAGCACGACTTTTGACCTTGACCTTTATTGTCCGTTGATAGCAAACGCTATATCTGGGCCGTATGAACGAATATGATTTGGGTTATCAGATGGATGAAATAAATGATTTGTTTATACGTTTTATTGCCTTTTTCCTGGGTGACTTACAGAGATATTTCAATTGATGATCTTAAAAAAAGTCCCTTCATTAAAATTACCAGACTGGAAGACTATTGAAAATTCATTTAATAATCATAGACAGATTTTACTTTGATGACGAGAAGCTAATTAACACCAAGTCTGTTATTGAAATGTACAATATTTTACATTAGTATAAACAATTTTGCTAACTTATTTTTATTTTCGAAGGTATGTACCTTGATACGTTATATTACGTTTCCTTAAGAGCCCAGATGTATTCCCTTGAACAGTATTTATTATAAGATAATTAGTTTCCCTTTGACATTCTAGCGATTATTTCCATAATATTCTGTACGCTAGTTTTTTTGTTAATTTACAAAAATGTGTTTTGTATAACGCAGCTTGAAACAATATTTAAGTTATTTTATGGTGTCTCAGTTTCATGTGAGATGAAAACCAAAGTGATGCATGTCTCAGATGTTGACAAATAAGTAAACACTCGATCACGGGGATATGACGTTGGCAAACCAAACCCCAACTAAAACTTACGACCACAGGACTCCTACTCGGTGAAGTAATGGTATGATGTACACACATGCTGCTTCTAACTAATACACATAAGTCGCGTTAAAAAAACAGACGGGGCCCTAATAAATATCGTCCACCTCTCGCGCAAACACATGCACAGAAACTCATTACCTACCCCGAACTTAAACCCTAATACCGTTTATTATCGACATACACCTGAATTTTATAAGGATAGCCCCCCATCCAGTTTGATAGAATTAACTGAACACACACCACAATCACACTCTTTGACGTTTAAGCGTTAACAAAAGACAGATATTTCAAAATAAGAATATAATTTTATTATGATATAAGAATCCCCGGAAGATGTTGAAGTGTACCAAAAAAATACATTATAAAATGTTATACATCATGGTATCTCAACTCGCCTGTTGCCATGGTTAATAGGGCGTGTGATTGATTCCAGGTTGTCGTACACGGCCATGCTGATGGAGTTGCCTTGTGTAGGTGACGTCACAACGACGTGGGTTGCTCCCGATGGAGGCGTCAACATAAACACAGGACGATGGGAGGAGGAGACGGTGAGATCAGTCAGGCTCTCGCTGTTAGATAGCGTATCCATGAAGGTTGCCCCTCACACCCACTGAAAGTGACTCCTACCGCCTCGAAGCATGTTTTTTTCCCGCGAGATAGTCGTAGCCTAGGTCGTAGCAAGCAGCATGACGTCACATGGTCCTTCCACAAAGGTCTGATGGCGTGGTTGAACCATTTTATATAACCATACGCGCAGGTATGGTGCTAAGGTTGTTCCAATTTGTACCATGGTTTAAGTCCACCACTTTGACTTAGGCGTTTTCCAGAGCGCAGGTGGAGCCACTGACGGTGGTGTTGAAACGGGGAAGAGGTACGCCATACACGTATTTGCCGACCCTCTCGTTGCAGGCGGACTATTGATGAGGCTGTGGACGCGGCTATGAATGTAAGGACGGCGACGCTGAGAAACCTGTGTAACCAAGGACGGGGTTCCCCTACTACATCACACTACCACCACTAAATAGTCCACTCCCTGTAAGCCGTTTCGTGCATAACGTTGCTTGCCACGCCTGTAAACACGACTTCTACCATCCACACGGCGAAGCATAAAACGTGACTCGTCAGTAAACCAAACTTGTCACAATCACAGCTGTGGCCATACTCTGTGACCTTGACGATGCAGGCTCGTCAAAATGACACCTCGAACTGGTCGTCTAGCACGAATACCTACAGCGCTTAAACGGTTCGTCACTATCTGGGCTGATATCATACGCAGTCGTGGGCCCACTTGCACAAAACGACCTTAGCGCTGCGACTATTGTAAGCCTATGTTAAAGTATGGGCGTTACGATCATCTGAGTGCTAAGATCGCTCTGTGCAAGTATTGCCGTAGTTGTAGCGGTGGTCATGGTGTCTTTCACGCAAGTGACGTAGCCGTAGAAATCTGTCCTGTGCTCTAGTAGTGACACGTGGTCGACCGGATCTGGGAAGGTCACGTGTTGCCCCGTGTTTCGTCTTCAAACGGTTTCACAGTAATGGTGCTTGGTGCTACGTTGAAAACCCTGGCTTCAGCTGAAGATGATTCTCCTCTTTGCAGTCGGCCTATGTCGTTGTTGCGTTCGGTCAGTCGTGGCATGTTTTTGCTGTTCACTTGCTGTAAAATTGTGATGGCATGCATATGAAAACCCAACGTTTTTATAGCCCAACAAATGATATTGTACGTGCATGTCATACTGATGTGTTTCGGCGCCAGGCTCTCATCTGGTTGTACTTTTCACCAAATTGCTGCAGTACCTCATCCTTTCCACACAAATCAATCCCAATCCACGCAGATAGGACCAATTAAGTTTGCGTATTAATTTAGTATGGATGTAGGCAACACTCTGTCAAACATGAACGATGTTACTACGTTTGCGGTTTTTTTCAGAGTCTACACCCAACTGTTGGGATGTATGCCAGTGTTCTGAACAGGTACAATTTCGTATTATTAGATGCTTGTCAAAGGTTAATTTGGTTTCAACACTGAATGTCTTAATTGTTCTTGAGGGAATTAGGTATGGCAGTATAAGTTTAATGTTTAATCTGTTTCTGTTGACTATTTCAATCTATATTTGGTTTAGAAACATACATTGTTTGTAAACAATTTAGACGTAGTTCATACCGTTGATATATGTTAATTGTTATAGTTGTAAGTATGCCAAGAGACCATAGCATTTGCGTATATGCAATACATTGGATAAACTGATTATGAATACCATTTATTAATATACAGGACATATGGTGATGTTTTCTTGCCGATAGTATCATATATTTAAAATATATATCTGTTACTCGATAGAATTTTAATATGCGACAACAGTGCAAAACATGCTGTAGACGCAATGAGTCCTTTTAGATCATTATGTAAGTAAAAAACCAACCTTCCCTGTGAAACATACAGTCTCAAAAAAAATAATATTGGTATAATTAAGTCAGAGTCAGGAAATGTAGTCTATATATAATCGAACTACACCGATAATAATATCTTCTAATCATTTGAAAATGAACTCTGCAATTTCCTAGTTCGATTGTTCCTTAATCATAGCTAACTTTTAAGACAAAACATCATATATATGGCGTACCACTGCACACCACAGAGGCTTATACATGTCGGAGGAAGGTACCTTGACCATTCTACTTACGGAATGGATAACTCAACACAATGGAGTAGACACTGGTCATTGACGTCAATTTAGGTAAATATTAAGAAAAGGACGCAAAAATACGCTAAATAGTCCTTACCCTTACTTACTACTACTAGCCGTGAGTTGAAAGGTTTGATATTGTTTTAATTTAGATCTTGCATAGGTAGATATCCAATATGCCTGCCATATGTACGTCTCCATACAGAGGCGCGATCTGTGGGGTGTCATCGTAAGAGTTCACCTTAACTGCATCTAAGTACTGTGCACCAACACATTAAAAAACTAGTATTTTTAATCTCTTCCATGTGTCAATTTGAACAAAGGTAAAACTGTCACAGTTCACTAAAAATGAATTAGCAATAGCTGAATATATGTCTCTGTAATATATTACTTAATCATAAAACACGAACAAATTTAAAAATAATTTTAATTTTCATAATAGGACTTACTTTCTTCCCGAAATGTTAAAAATCCGTCCCATTACGGTATTTACATGTATGTACATCATATTAGATAAACATGAGCATGCATAATTGATTAATGTCGCTTTCTCAGAAAAATATATCAAGAATTATTTAACACGATTTGACGTGTTGGACGCACCGGAACCTTCATTGTGGTAAGCGTCGCCACTTAACATGTTAACCCCCACCACCAATATTGGCAAAACGTGTACATCAATAGCCATGGACCCTAGTTTACGAGTTTCTTCAAACGTAGTTGCATATGGAATGTTTTCTTGCCGTATCGACGTGACCGAATTTGTGGCTAGTATTTCTTACGCAACATTCATGATGCGAGTCGAGGTAATTCTTTATGATTTATCAATCGTAAATGCATTACAATAATAGCTGTACAGCTATAGTATCTAAAAGTCTAACGGTTCGAGGACCTTTTCAGAAGGCAAACTCTCTTGCGATCTGAACATTGGTGAACAGGTATTATTATGGAGGTAATAACAGATGAGTGTTTTTAAGTTCACGAAGAGTGATGAGGAGATACACCTCCTCTGTTTTCAATGGATAGGTCATTTTAGTGCTACATGTAACTTTGGCAGTACTCAATTCATTTTGAAACCGCACGCTTAGGATCTACAGGTAACACGCCTCCACTCCACTCCATGGACAGTCTTAAATTGGAATTATTTGTGGTAGAGCAGTATGAGTCAAGCCCTGCGTCCAGTAAATTTCGACAATTTCTTTGGAGACATCAGTACTGCTGCGTGGCGTCAACCAACACACGCTTACTTTTTATGAATCATGTGGGAGTGGCTGGTGCTGCCGGTGGGTCGGGATATGCTTACCCTTTTCGTGAACACCAGGTGTCATCATTGATTTTCAGTGATCCATTCATATAATTTTCCGAGTACTTTTCGGCAGATAATCGAGACTGGTTATTCTCTGTCGTTGATGTTCCATATTTAGAAACGGCTACTCACAGACTCATCTATAAAGTGAGTGAGTGAGTGAGTGAGTATGGTTTACGCCGCTTTTAGCAATATTCCAGCAATATCACGGCGGGGTCACCAGAAATGGGCTTCACACATTGTATCCATGTCGGGAATCGAACCCGGGTCTTCGGCGTGACGAGCGAACGCTTTAACCACTAGGCTACCCGACCGCCCCTCATCTATAAAGATGACAGGTACTGTCATGGCAGCCATAATTAACGTTTAGTCCATGCACTTTGTCAAATATGATGCAGATATATATTCATCGGATGGGCTCAGAGTCATATTAACTTTCACACGA